GTCTGTAATAAATCACCGCATATACAGTTTCTGGTGTGTGGCCGCCGGACTTCCTTTGAATACATGCATTTCTAGATGCATATTTCAAAAGGATTTGACTTACGGCTCCGCAAAGCTAATGCAATTGAGCATTGCTAATTTTATATACACAGCCATGCCATAGTAAAACGATATAATGGTTCTCAGGATTTTGTAAAAAAAAATGTTGTTTTGTTACTTGTCGCAAAATACTAGACTCGTATTTTTTCATTAGGGTTAGGGTCCAGCTTTCGGCCCACAGTTACACTGATAGGCAAAATAAAGTGCCCACCCCATCATTTTTGAAATTTCTCTCATTTATTTGGTTCAAATTCAAATAAACACACCGTAGTCTGTTTCGATGTCTTACCTTTATTATTCTTTTAAAGTTACACCTATGGAATACTGAAAATATAAAGTTTTACTTGAAGTAAAAGAAAATCAATTTGGATTGAAAAAGAAAACAGTGACAAAAAAAAGTGCCCACTTCAAAAATCGGTATGTTTTCGATAAGTTTCCATCGGAAAACCCCTCGATTGTTTTTGTTTTGAAAGTTTGACATGTATTGAAGCAAACGGGTGGAACTGGTGCATTTGTACACGTGATCGCATTTGAATCAGTTGAAAAAAATGGAGGACGTAGTGATTTCGAAAGCAATTCCCGTGTGTATCCGAAAATTGGTTGTTCGTGATGTGCAAAACGGTGAATCGCACCGGTCTGTCGCTAGGAAGTACAATATCAGCAAAACAGCGGTCGGGAAAATTCTGCAGAAAATGAAATCGTTCGGATCAGTGGTGGATCGCCCTGGCAGAGGCAGGATGCGCAAAACGGATGCGAGAACGGACACCAAGATCATGCGTGAAGTGAAGAAGAACCCGAAGGTAACTGTCCGCGAGATCCAGGAGGCTCTTCAGCTAACAGTTTCCAGTCGAACTGTTCGTCGCCGTCTCGTAGCACAGGGGTTGAACAGCAAAGTTGCTCGGAAGCGCCCATTTATCAGCAAGGCAAACAAAGTCAAACGGCTTAAGTTTGCTAAGGAGCATGCTGATAAGCCCCTAGAGTTCTGGAAAACGGTTCTCTGGACGGACGAATCAAAATTCGAACTGTTCAACCGGAAGCGACGGGTTCGTGTGTGGTGTAGATCGGGTGAGGAGCTTCAGGAGCGCCACATACAAGGCACGGTGAAGCATGGAGGAGGAAATGTGATGGTCTGGGGGTGCTTTTCGTGGGGTGGAGTGGGAAGCCTGGTGAAAATCGACGGGATAATGACGGCAGATTCCTACATCGACATCCTGCGGGAAAATCTGGAAGTTTCGCTGATCCAGACGGGCCTTGAGGAGAAATTCGTATTCCAGCAGGACAACGATCCGAAGCATACTGCCAAGAAGACTAAGTCTTTCTTCCGGTCATGTCGAATTAAACCACTGGAATGGCCTCCACAAAGCCCGGACCTCAACCCCATCGAGAATTTGTGGGCGATTCTCGATGCCAGGGTTGACAAAACTGGTGTTACCAATAAAAATAACTATTTTGAAGCCCTGGAGCGCGCCTGGGAAGAACTAGATCCACAGCACCTGAAGAATCTAGTGGAGAGCATGCCGAAGCGCCTGCAGCTGGTCCTGAAGGCCAAAGGAGGACACATTAACTATTAGGCTGGTATTCTTTTACTTTATTTTATGTTTTCTGGAGTTAAAATGCAGTGGGCACTTTTTTTTGTCACTGTTCTTTTTTACACCCATTTTGATTTTTTTTTCTTCGAGTCAGTCTCTTCTTTTTATCTGGTATTCTATAAGTGAAACTTAAAAAGAATATAAAGAATAAGATATAAAAAATACTACAGTGTATTTACTTTAATTTGAACCAAATAAATGAGAGAAATTCAAAAAATGATGGGGTGGGCACTTTATTTTGCCTATCAGTGTACATGTTTTCAGCTATATTAAGGGTATATCCTGGAAGGTTATCTGTTTGGACTGCTCCGATACACTAAACGTTCACTAACGTTCCCTTTATGAATATTTGTCAATATTTTCCGTGTCAAAAATTGACCAGCTAGCAACTAGTTATTTTCAGTTGTCAAAAAAGGCTGAAAGGCATTGTTGACGTAGATATGCGGGATTATTTTGCTGTTCCATTCAATAATATATAAATGTCACAATAAATGGTTTATAAATCTATTTGAAAATTTGATGCCCTTGATGTGTTCACGGATTCCATGGAACTTTCATTAGAATTCACTTGAAATTATCTTTCTAATCCCCTCAGAATTCAATACTATCGGTATTTCTTTGAAGTTATCATAAGAACTTTCCATTCTTCTCCGATTTTATTTAGAATATTCATTAGAAATTAACCGGTAATGCTCTTTACAATCGTTACGTAATTTCTCACAGTATCACATAATAATTCTACTTTGAACTTAAACAATTGACTTGGCGTTGTAGTCAAAACTCTAGAAAAATACTTCCAAAAATTCCATTGGATACCTTATTAAAATATCTAGAATTCATTCTTCAAATTCCTCTAAATTCCATTGGAACTTTCATCAAAATTATCGAATAAGTTCTTCAAAATGATTGTATTCGGGAAATTTAGTAGTTGAGAAGATTATTATTTTCCAAAGAAAGGACGAAGTATATATTTCCCGGTTCATCATCGAAATTCACGGACTTCTACCGGTGATCCCTGTGTCCAGAATGCAATAGGTCTTATCCATCTGAATAACATTACTAGAGATAGCAGTCAGTTAGTCAAAACACATAAAACGAAACTAGCTCAGAGAGTGAGTAACTTTTGCGTTGGTTACTCAGCGCATGAGTAACCTACGTAAAAGTGACTCACTCTCTGAATAAGATTCGTTTTCAGTGAATGTAGACTGCTTAAGCAAGCCTTTTGAATCAAATGTTAGTAGAGCTGCATGGTGAGTGAATTCTGAACTAATAGGTCAATCATGCGATAGGTATTGTCCATCCGAATAACTTCACTGAATACAAAAACCTGCTTTCTGGCTGTGCTGTTAAGTTAAAACGTGGAATTTGATGCAAATTACACACTGAGCTTGAATATCCAATATTCAATTTATAGCTGAGATGGCAAGCTAAATACATTGAAAACTAATATTACTCAAAGAATGAGCCTCTTTTACTGATTCGTATGGAGATTTTTTTTAAAATCGTAGGCTACTCATGCATTGAATAACCTACGAATTTTTTTTCATACGAATGAGTTAGTTTCGTTTTCAATGTGCAACGCAACGAACACCCCTGTTTATCACTCGGCAGCCAAACGGTGACTGCAGTCAAACTTTCTACGTTTCACTTACTTAAGCATTTGGATTATTATTCTATGCCCCTCCTTTTTCTGTATTTAGCTGATGTAGGTGAATAAATACAAAAAATGTTACGATGTCCACGCTGAAGCGAACAAGTTCGAGGTCGATCCGTCCAACGTGCAACGCTGAATGATTAGGCGGCTTCGGCTTGTGTCTAGGGACCAACTTTTGAAAGTTTCCATATTTCTTAATTTTTAGCAATTTAAATATTAAACATTTATAATGTGTAACATACCACACAAATTTTATAAAACTGCCGAATCGATCAACATACAAATAATCAAAATCCATTGATTATTGACCTAGTTATTAGCATTTAAAGTCTGACCAATTTTCGTTGCATTTCTCTGGATTGGCACCCTTCCCGAAAGACGTAGTTTACTTACTTCCTTCATTTCGCCTTACTCCCTTATCATGTTGAGAATACTGCACCATTTGTGTCAGATTTGTTTACCCTTTTCCGGAAAAATGCCTCACTGGTAAAAATGCACTTTCTGCTCACGAACACTAAATCAACAATAACACACATCCATGCACTGCTGCTAAATTTCATTGGGATATAAATGGCGGTATGTTGAATGTGTGCATATAATAACTGACATCCTGTTATATTATGAAATCAAAGCTCTTAAAATTGTAACATCCATAAAAGGATCTGTTGCACCAAGCTAAAAACCTTTTTATGTGGCTGTTGCCAACGAACATTTTTCATTACGAATGAGCGAATATTGAAGCAATATCCGTTTCTCATGCCCCCTTTCAGCCCACTAAAGGATGACAGGTAAACCGGTGAATGGTTGTCTATATCTAGTGCACCTCCTTTTTTCGCTTTTCTTCAAATACCTGTCACTCGACTCGGCATTTTTTGCGGATAAAGGGCGACACGAATAAATATGTATCCTTTATTAGGGGGATAAGGTTATGCTATCATCGGCAGCAACCTCTCATATTGCTCTTTAATACAACTTCTTTCTTGTTTTAGGCTTTTACGCTTCTGTAGCGAGCGTTTTACCGGCTCTCAAATTAGTGTTCTTGATGCGCTTCCACAGTTTTTAATTGAGAGCTTTCTATGTCGACCAATAAATGAATGTGTATATCGTTGCCACACCGATACTCTATGCCCAGGGAAGTCAATAAATGTCCAACCCGAAAGATTTCCTCGTCCGGACCGGGAATCGAACCCGCCGTCTCCGGCATGATAGTAGTACCGTACCTAACCTGACTGTTGGAGGCTCCAAGACCCCTTTAAGTCAATACGATAATTTAATTGGCTCTACTGGAAAGCAAAGCATACGGTATCACCGTGATTCTTTATCAAGCATTATTGGGTCGGCTGACAAGCAGTATACGACTAATCGATATTATTTACATAAATATGAATACATAATTATGGCAGAAAGAGTACGGGCCTATTAATAGCCACTGGGAAAAGCCTAGTTAAGACAAAATGGATGGTTTTATCGTTTTCGGTATGGGTTATTTGTATTTTCCAGAAAGATGTTGAAGGATACGTTTGATGGCAAGAAAATACATTGACCTCAATTTTAAGAAACATGCAACGTTGGTGATAAATGAATTTGAATATCATTATGGAATATGCATTCAAAATTGAATTCAATTAATAAGGATTTATATTTTCCTATATTTTCAGGGAGGCTTAGCCGAGGTAACGTGGGTGATAGCAGACTATACTGCATCCCAAGGCACATCGGAATTGACCGTGACCAAGGGCGCTCAGGTGGAGATTTTGGACATGAACTGTTCCGGAGCGCCTGAATTTTGCCTAGTTCGGTTACCGATCAACTCTACCGATAGCCAGGAAGGGCTGGTGCCGGTATCGGTGCTCAAACCGCTGCCATCGTCCCATAGTAAACTGAACAACAAACAGCGGGATGCTGACGCGCTTGGAGGTAAGTGATTTCATTTTATTGTTATTTATTGGTAAACAAGCGCTTTTACTGATGGTTTGTCTAGACCAGGTTGTATTTAATGGCCTACAAGCAGGAACAAAACAAAGTTATTATCTGCAATAATATATGAGAATTTATACCAAGCGACCAAAGATGGCCTTAAATCTAATCCCGTGCTAATTTGGAGAAGTAAAACTCGGGTTTGATTCGTATACGCAACAAAGGACACCATCCAACAGGGCTTGTCCTTCTGACCATCTTTGTCGGAGACAGTAACCTTCTAGCTAGTAGATATGTAAAGTCAATAATTTTCAAGTAGTTTTAAACAAAACAGTCACACTAGCCACGTGGCGATAGAATTTTCAACTGAACCATCCAATAGATCTTGTCCATTTACATAACTTAGCCAAAGTAGTAACCTTCTATGTTTTTCCAGCAGCCATGTTAAACAGGCAGCTAGGAGTCATTATAGCACACTAGCGCCGTGCGGTGGCTGAATTCTCAACTAAGTATTCACTGTTTTGTCAAATTTGAACTACTCTGTCAAAGGCAGCAGCCAAGGAATCATGTTTGTGCTATTTTTCAACTTAACGACCAGCTGCTCCGGCTTCGATGGTCCGAGAAAGGCACAGAATAATTAATGTTGCATTGATAATGGGTGGTTGAATTTTTTTATGGTTTTTACTGTTTTGATATTCGAAATCGATGTTATCGATCGATCGATAGTTAATTATCGATCGATTGCTTTAAAAAGATATGTTTTCTATTGCTACTTTTTAATTTTCTGTTGCAGCTTGTCAATTTATTGTTGCTTGTTTTTTGTGGTTTTATCGGCGAAAACATATTATCTCTTGCAACTTTTTTAATTTTCAATTGCTAAAGACTGGAACGCGTAAAAATTGGTCGTCAAAAAAATAGTTTTTTTCAGTCAAAATTCATATCACAAAAATCTTCTTATTTTTCTTTTGGTAGTTCAATTCATATATTTAAAGGAAAAAATGTTCGTTTTATTCTATTATTCGCCGCCGAACGCCAGTTAGATTTAAACTGCTGCTCGTTTTCCATGGATTTATTAGTTTTTTTGAGATTCCGTTTGACCAAAACCCAATACCGTTCGATAGAGCGGAGTTCTGGGCTGTTGGGAGGGTTATGGTCTTTGGGTACCACAACCACATTGGTCGCATCGTACCATTCGATTGCATTTTTCCCATAGTGGCAGCTCGCCAAGTCCGGCCAGAACAGCACAGGTCTATTATGTTGCTTTAGGAATGGTAGCAGCCGCTTTTCCAGACACTCCTGGACGAAGATATTTTGATTGATGGTTCCCGTAGTAATGAAAATGCCGCTTTTCAGACCACACGTGCATATGGCCTGCCAGACGAGATATTTTTCCGGGAACTTCGATAGATTGATGGTTTTGAAAATTTCAGCCACCTTCCCTTTTCCTGATGCTGTATAAAACTCCAGTCCCGGAAGCTGCTCGAAATCCGCCTTCACATAAGTTTCGTCGTCCATGACGACACAGTCGAACTTTGTGAGCAGATTCGTATACAGCTTTCGGGACCGCTGCTTTGCCGACGTGTTTTGTTTGTAATCTCGGTTCGCCACCTTCTTCTTCTTAAACGTTGACAACCCGGCTCGTTTCTTAGCCCACTGCACAGTAATATGGGAGACATTGAGCTTTCCAGCGACGTCCCGGATGGAGAGGTTCCGCTTATATTTCACCGCCACCTTCTTCGTCGTCGCTGCCAAGTCCAGATGATTACGATTGCCGCCGCTTCCAGGCTTCCTGGCGGTCGACAGACGCTCCCCGAACACTTTTAAAACGTTTGTCACGGTCGATTTGGCCACATCCAGCAGTTTTGCCAATTTGGCGTGTGAGAACGTCGGATTCTCTTGTTGCGCGAGCAAAATTTTGACACGCTGCTCCTCTTGCTTGGACGTCATTTTGAAAACTGGAGAGCAAACGGTGAAAACTCATCATAGCAACATTGTATATACACTCAACTTCCAAATACAGCATTTCAGGTTTTTTTTGTATGCATTTTTAACAGAAATACACCAGTTTGAATTTGACCAATTTTCGCGCGTTCCAGACTTTACTTTCCAACTCGTCTATTGCTCATTTTCTAATAATTTATTGCCCGTGAGCTAGTAGGTATATTGGAAATTTTGCATTCGAGTGTCCCCTTCTTTTTGCGAGAGTTTATTATGCTTCCGTTTGCCGTGGTGAATGAAATAAAATCTATGAGAATAATTCATCTTCGAAGATAGACGCTTTTCAAATGCTATGCGAAAAATTTAACTTCTCAAGCAAAATCTAATTTCATCTATTCCCGTTGTTTGCACTTGCAACAACCACCAAACCATAAATATGTTTGGTTTCCAGCTTCATTAAACCGCTGTTGACAGAAATTTACCGCCTCTCTAAATCAAATTAAAATACCCCGTGACGATCGACAGATATTAACATGGAACAGCAACAACAATCATATAATTCAAACCATGGACATTGTGGTCACAAAAATTTTCGCCTTTCCATGCCGCCGACAGCGACGTAGAAAAACTATGTCTCCTGCCTGCACGCGCGTTCCTTTCAGGGAAAACTTACTCTACCGGGAATGTTCCAAATAGGCTGGCTGCGAATTCGGCACACCAAATCATATACCACACGATATAAATTGGTTCTCTTTCTCTCTCTCTCTCTCTCTCTAGGGAGAAAAGGTAATTTACTTTCCCCCGAACGTGGACTCGATGGCATATGTTTCACGCGAATCTGTAAGTGAGGAATTTTCACAGCAAGCGTTAAAAGTCAGTTGAACGGTTATTTACACCGTGCATTGGTCTCTGATCCAACAATTCTAATTGAATCGTATAGGATTAACCGGTGATTGAGGTACACGCCAGTTGGCCAGTTGAGCGAATGGCATTCTCGCCTCGTCGGTGTGATGAAGCTGCTTCCAAACGCTGCACCACTCGCGCTGTGCGGTTATAATTTGTGGAATTTACGTTTAATAGTTTGCCATAAACATCAAGTGGCTTAAGGAGTAATTGTTGGCCACAATTCGTGGTACATTAGGCTGAATTTTATTATGGTTACAATCATAAATGTCTTCTTTTATGGCGTTGGAGACGAAATGTACTACTGAAATATTTTGGGTAATACGTTATACGGCAGAGAAGTGAGTGAGCAGTATCCAAGTTTGGATGGGAATAAGTGGGTCATAACACTTGTTTTTTCAATAAACTATTAAAACTGGACATTTACTAGTCTATCTTGAGCGTATCAAGTTTTGTGGAGGCTTCATTCGTCAGGTTTTAATGTAGCTTTGGCGACATCACATCGAAAGATTTAAACAAAATTACGGACGAAATTTCTACCGACCTTTAAATATTTGTAGAAAGGTGGAGGGAGGGGGCAGGGTGCGATCATTTTTTCTCCATGTTAGGTGCCTTAAAACAGCGTCTATTGAATGTTAGGGGCGGCTGATCATCGTCCTCTTGCCAGCGTGGGAGATTCTAAACAGAGCTGTGCATGATGATCCTCGTGCGCGAGATAGGTGGTTGGGACTTCTATCTGAACTTCATCCTAAGGTTAAAAACTTCATTATGTACTCTGAAAATGGAAGTATCTTACTCCCAGTCGTTGAAGATAATGAAACAGTGCAGTTAATTTTTGACAAAACTGCTAATTTAGGACGGAACCAAATTACTCATATTAAGAACCAACAAAGTTGCTATTTGAACTAACGAATATTTTGAACACACAGCAAAAAAATAATTTTGATATCACATCAAAGTGGATGCACTACAATCATGTCGAAAATTTCATGTAATTTTTATGACCACATAAATAAACAAATGCAGTAAAAGCAGCGTAATGTAAGTTCATGCATTGTATTAATGATAATTTTGTCCTTTTTAGCAAGTAATATTACACCATATTTTCGACATGATTGTAGTGCATCCACTTTGACGTGATATCAAAATTATTTTTTTGCTGTGCACCCATTGTAGAAAAATGAAGCGCTTCACACAGAAATTGAATATTCTTTATTTGTGCATGAAATCCAAAGATCCAACGACATGCCCAACTAGCAGCTTGGCCGAAACGTTGCAAATAACGTAAAGACGGATCGGAAAAATTGCCAATGAAGACTACAATTGAAAACTCGGAACATAGAACTGCTTCCATGGTTATGATAGGTTACCGTGGACATGCATGTGGAATGGTGATGACGGGTATGTACATCCATGGAAAACCCGGCCTAAGCCCGAATGACATTGATTCCATAATTACATTGGAATCATCCTTACAATTATCATAAAATTTTTCTTGGAATTCTACGCATCTCTATCTAAATACAACAAGTCTCATACAATTATTCCATTTAAGTTCTTAAAATTTCTTTGGAATCTTTATTGAGTTCTCAGAAATATTCCTTCGAAGCTCTCCTCCTCCTCAGAATTCCTTTGGAATTATCCTCAGAATTTCCATCGAATTCTCCTCAGAATTTGTACTAACTCTACTACAATGCACAGTGGGGCGAAGCCGGTCTTAAATGATTTTTTTTCCATGAAGTATTATTTTAACATTTATGGTCATTGTAGACAGCTTTAGTCCGGGAGTTAGAAGGTGATAGTTCTATTGCAGATCCAGCAACCCATTTCAGAATGTCTGGAGAGTCACGCCCATTCAGAGGTTACTTTCACTTAGAATAAGCCCCGCATGTATGCATCACCGTTATCAAATGGATATTGAATTTACATACACGCTTCCAGGCACGTATTTAGTTTATGTTTTTTTTTTAAATTGTAAAATGTATTTGGACTGGTCTCACCATGTTCACTTGATCCCCCAATCCATGCGTTCCGTAGTTTTGATTTTCTCTAAGCTTTGCAGCTCATTTCGTTCATCACCTTTTTTTTTTGTAATTACTTTATTTGTACAGGCTCAATCGAATAAACTTTACAGAGCCGAGTTATCCTTTGCGTTATAC